TATATTGATGAAAAACAGTATAATAGGGGACCTTTAAGGATGATATAACATTGTTAGCCAATGACCCCAGAGCTTTAAGATAATTGACCTTCCCTCTGTCTTTTCTTTGCCCCCTCCAGCCTTCAGCCCCCCCTCTGTCTCGGTCTCTTTGAAAGAAGACCATCTCACGGTGAAGGTGCAGTTCCCCTGTGCTGCCAACAGGAGGTGCTCTCTGGGGCGCTGCTGTCCCATCTCTGAACTGATCCACCCATGGACCACAGTGACTGTGTACAACAAGCAAAATCACTCTGAGTACCAGGTCTGCTTTTTGCTGAGTTGATACTGATATATATTTTTATAAAAAACCTGCATATTTTAGCTAAAGTTAGTGCTGGCATATAGTAAATCAGCCTTGAGTAAACAATTGTTCACACATGGATGCTGCTAGGTGCATCCAGATGACTTACCCAAGTAGAGTTGTGAAAAAAGGAAAAATAAACTATTTTTGATCAAAACCGATTAAGTTAAACCCTTTCTACATTTCTAAAGGTCAGATGCAACAATTCCTCAAGATGATTATTAACAGGATAATACTGATGTTGTTATATTAAATATATTTCATTACCTATTCAATCTTTTGTTTACCCTTTCTGATGGCATACTTAATCCTAAGAAAGATCTCTGGTTTTAATTTTTGAAAGCTGAGTGCTTTGTGTCCTTGCAGAGACGTACGGTTTGGACCCAGGAGGTGGTGTCCCATGTGGAGTTCTCCGGCTTGGCTGCGGGTCAGAATTACTGCGCTGTGGCCAACTTCTCCTTCCCAACGTTCTCCATGGCGGCTTCTCCAAAGTCTTCCCCTCAGTGCGTCCAGACCGTTTCCCAATCAGGTTAGAGAGCGACATGTCACAAACTATATCACCATCCTGAAATGCCCTTAAATACATCACATGTTAACCAATAGGAGGGTTAATAAGTAGACAGAGGACGTGATGGATTCTCATGGCTCAATGGGACAGGCATTCTCAGTATGTTAGTATCCATTGATTAGTGTTTGCCAACATGAGGAACAGAACCTCTGCAGTGCCAGTTTAGGGCCATCTACTGGCCTTGTTCATGTGTCGCTAAGGAAAACTAGAAACTTGTGATGCCTTGAATGCACCATTTTATTGAAGATCACCTCAGTTTACCAAAGCTTCCTTCCATTTGCTTTTTTTTTGGCTTGTCAAAAAGCATCTTTTTATATCCCTAGTAATTTTTGCTTAGTAATTCTAGCAAAAAAACACATTTGCTTAATACAACTTTGGGTCATTGTGCAGTTTAGAGGCGTTAAGAAACGTTCTGGACTTGGCACATACTCTTTTTTTGTTTGTTTTTCTTAAAAAGGACTCTGTGCAGAGGTCCAATGGCCAATGCTGATTGATTCTGCAGCCTCGCTCTTTATTTATCTTGTCCCCTGTGTCTTTGAAAGTCTGCTGTATTGTTTGTTTATTGGGATAACATTTGTGTTCAACTTATATATTGTGTTTCAGTGCTGCTGCCCGCGGTGTGTCTGGGAATCGGACTGACTTCTCTGCTCCTTGTTCCTCTCCTCGCTGTGTTTCTGAAAATACCTAAACACACTGCACTTACCTCTGAAAATCAACCTGAGACTCTGGTACGATTTATTTGTCTTTTAACTCTCCTCACAAACCATCGTTTTAAGTGTGAGCTGGATATTTCTCCTTGACAGATTGCTTATCTTCATTTGTATTCTTTCACTAAGGCCTCTGTTCAGGATCCAGACTCTTTGGTTCCTCTTTCCCCGGTCCCTGTGGGACCCTTGTGACATCCAGCTGGAGTTTGCTAGTCACACATAGACCATCTCTACACTGCTGAAGGACTTGAGAGAGGTTTGGATGAACCCATCTTGATCACTTTGGGGGGGGAAAACGCTGAGCTAATCCCAGGATGCAGTGACGAGCCCTGTCAACATGACGAAATAAAGTCAGCTGATGTGAAGGACAATAATGTCTGAGGTAGGTGGACCTCAGTCGAACTCCTGTGAGACAGACTAGGATTTCAATTCTCCATCCTATCCTTCTCCAACAAGGAGCAAACCTCGACACACGGTATCATAATCCCAGCTATGTCTCTACTAAGGGTAACTATGGGACACATTTAGAGACCGGAGTGTTGTTCAATAAGGGTAGCTGTCATTGGGGGTCTCAAAGGCTTCTCCACGTCCATGTGAAGTTTTAAAAGGAGAAGGGAGTTACGCTTCTGCAAGACCAGTTAAAATGTCTGACAGTTTGCACAAGTTAATTTTTTTTAACTGATATATTTATTTTAATGATTGTTATCAAACATGTTAAGAAATACAAATATCTGTCAATATATGCAAACTAGTTTGTTTCAACCTATGGTCACTAGCTTCGTTTACAGACTGAGATAGCAAAGTTAGCAAACTGTGCTAAGATGTCTTTCATTAATGGATACATTTTTTAGCTCTGATCATGCTGTTATGTACTTATATATTTATTCATTTAATCTTTGAATAGAGTTCATTACTACCATTGAATGAAGATAAAAGGTCATGACCCAACTTTGAATTCCTCGCTGAAAGCCACCAAATGACCTCTAACATGTAATTCTGTTTAGCTGGCGCCTGTCATCCCATTTTAATCATGTAAGCACATTCCTCTGGCTCTCACTGCCTGTCCGATCTGAGTCAGAAAGAGAAATTGGGTCCGAGGATCGACTGCTGAGTGAGAACTTCCAATGGAGCAGCAATAGTTTATCTGACACGTCCAAAAGTAGCTGTTTTTCTGTGCATGTACCACAGATTCAGTGAAACGTCTAAATCTGGATGTGGTTCTTCCCCCCTCTGCGTTTTTGTGCCGAGGTCCAGTGACACTCAACAGGCCGGTTCAAAACCATAAGCTTCATAAACAGGAACGCCTGACCCCCCACGCGCAGCCAACAGCTCCTTTAAAGTGATAACAGAGGGTAACTTTTTCTATCATTCCTCGCTCTCTCTGACTCACAGTTGCCTCCTCTTACCCGTGGACTGACGCCTCATTCTGCCCTCCTGCATGAAAAACAAGAAACATCTTGACATCTCGCTTTTTTCTGCCTTCTGTTTTGCTGGTGTTGCATTCTTTCCGCAACATTGGGGAGCCTTTGGGGTTTGGCCATCCAGCATTGTTTGTTTCCCCTTCTACCTTTTCCAGAGTCCACAGAGACCTGGGGGGTTGTCCAAAGCTCAACGTAACAAGTATGGCTTTTATTAATAAGCATAGTGCTGATTATGCTCGTGGAGAGAGATGATTAACGCATGAAGCGAGAAGCTGGCTGCGAGCTCGAGCACCTGACTACACAACAGTGGGAGCTGTGTGTTGGACCTTTGTTTTTGTTCTGCTATGTGGCTGTAATTCCTCTGAATATATCAAATTGCGTAGACAAAGTCGTGTGGATTGAGTTTCCTGAGGTGACCTTGGTATGCTAAAACACATTTTAATCAGCTCATGATTATTGTGCATGAAACTGAACATGTTATAATGTGTGTTAAGGAGGAGGAGGGTATATGCCAACAGTGTTGTAACGACTCATGTTATAACTCAAATAAATTATGTAAAAATGTAATCAGTTTATTTGAACTGTTTATTGTGACTAGTTTAGTAAGAAATGTGTTTGAAATGCCAATTCTGAGATAAAAATAGATATGTCGAAAATATCACAAATACAACATAGTATAATAAGTTGAAAAAAACGACATAGTATACTATGCTGCGTTTTTCTCAATGTCGACATATCTGTCGTTTTTTTTTTACTTATATTACTGTCGTTATTTGTATACTATACTATGTTGTTTTTCTCGACGTTTTGACATGTCTAGATTTTCCGACTACATAGTATAGTATGTCGAAAATATCACAAATAAACCGAACATAGCATGTTATGTCGAAAGTGTATCACAAAAATAGACTTTGTGGGGGAAACTTCTGAAGCAATAGGAGTCAGGACTCAGAGAGACACGAGGAGAGCTGGAGCTTTGATGGCAAACACTGACGGTTTATTTGGAGCTTCGGCCGGAGAATTCACAAGACATGTCACGGGCCACGAGTTTGACCTCACGGTTGAGATGCCACAATCAATCCTGGAGCACCCTCCTGTAGCTCCAGGTTTTAACTAGTTCAGAGTGTAATAATCAACATTCTTCATTAGTTAGACGAAACAGCTGAGGGACACTGAATCACATTTGTTGTCGCTTATGGCTCGGGGTCATCTACCCCCGAGAAGGATGTGTTCCAGGTGTCCCCACAACCAATAACTATCTCTGACCGAGAGTTGCCACGGTCATAAACTGGCAACATCAAACAATATGCTAGGGCAGCCCCTCCTTATGGGAGATAACGGCTGCTCAGGTTGGTCAGCGCGCTCAGAGGGCGAAGGAGGCATGCAGGGCAAATTATTCCCCAACGACATATTATAGTATGTCCAAAAAAAACGACATAGTATGGTAGATAAACATTTGAGAAAAACAACATAGCAGTCAAAAAAGTCTAAATAAAGTATCTCAAGAGAATTATAATAAGCTACGTTGATTTTTGTGCAAATATCTTTATTTACAGGTAGCACCACTCTTACAATGTAAATGGTGTGAGTGTAAGAGAATATCTCCCTTGGAAATGTAATGGAGAAAAAGTAACAATCGGACATGAAAAAACAAGAACACTGAGTGAAGTTTCAAGTACCTAGTAATAAATGTACTTACATTTCCACCTCAGTTCAATAACCCAATCAATTTTAAAGCTCCCTGTATACTTGAATAGTTCTTAATTAAGGGTAAAGTAAACCAGTTAGAGCTGCCATCTACTTCCCATATGTAGTCTGCAGGTGCATTATTAAAGAACGTTAAACATTAGATTTGGCTGCCTTTGTTTGAGAGTATTAGTGGTCATTAACAGAACAGAGAAACTTTAAATAAAGACCTTCACGGTCAGAAATATAGCTTCTCTTTCTCTGTGGCAGGAAATGCTTAGTCACTCGCGGTGTGACTCATCCAACCCTCTCGGGGTGGACTTGTTTTTACCCCCATCAGCGACGCTAGGACCGATCCACAGATGGTCAGCGATGCTCAATTTAGAAACATGTCCGGGCCATAAACCACTGCATAGCAGCACGTTCTGGGGTAAAATGATAAAAACGGACAAGTTAAAAAAACAAACTTGTATCAACAATTTTTTATTTTGGCCATACATCATTCATTCATTTAATAATTAATATACATTATATATACATAGCAACAAAGGAAAGCCGTGTCCTTGTTCAACCCATCTTGCAGTAAATGTTGGCACTGCATTCTTGGCCTTTTTGACAGAGTCATTGAAGTTTCTTCCACACAACACACACACGGGATCGAGCACGTGATCCCACCGTGTGCTCGTGTTGACAAGTTCGATCCAGTTCCAGCCTCATCTGGCGCCAGTACGAAAAGAGAACAGGAACACAATTCTTAGATTTTTAAAGAATGGAGAAAATGAACATTTCTGTGCGTAAAGGGCACTGGTTCAGTTCAATCTAATTCAGAGTTCAAATCTAAATTAATATATCCACATGTAGCAATAGCTTGACTCCAACAAAAAATACGTCTCAGGTAAGTTTGATTGATTTAAACAAAGGTATCAGTACAAACGCATATTGTCAATAAACGATGTTCTCCTTGATTCTTTCCCCCTAATTACCCAGCAGCTGCTGTCGGCTATGACGTCAATTTCACACAACAGCTGGTTTAAATAAATGATATAATAATACTCATACAAAGAAATACAATGTTCAAATATGTACACACATAAATATCAAATTATACATGTTTAACATATGGCTCCTACACCAGCGTTTGACATACAAAAACATCCAAAAAATAGGGAAACGGGTTAAAAAAAAACAAGACAGACAACCTGATTATTTTTAGGTAGCATACCTGAGCAAACTTGGTGTATCTGCTCGACCACAGCAGCGAACAGAGCGCCCACACTCTCATCTATCAGACTCTGCATGTAATGCCAACCGCCTCCTCGTCAGACAGGTCCAATCGGAACTTGTCCTGCACCTGGAGGAAAATATAAGTCATATGACCAGAGTACAGACAATTTAACATTATTCAAGATAAGATAGTGTAATCGCTCCAGAGGCAACACCACGCACCTTCTTAACGGTCTTGTCAGGCTCCAGGGCGATGTCAGGAATATTGGCAGTCGACCATGAGAGAGAACAGATTCAGGATCAGGTTGGAGTATCTGAAGAAATGGAGGGAAGAAGAAATATTTGATTTAACATGTGTTGTATCATCGTATTGTATCCTCAGTACAAAGATGAAAAGTATCAGTTATTAGGGGATGTTTCTAAAATAGAGTTGAAGCTTTCATGCCTGATGGGCCGTACTATGTTTTACTTTATGAGATATCAATTGTCAATACTCCTTTTTCAACTTTTGTTCAGCCCTTTGGTTTAGGTTCATGTCAGTAAAGTAAAGTGGGAAAATCAGTCGAGAAAAGGCAGATAATTCATCACAGCACACATTTACTGGCTTTTATGTTTTGTCCAAGTTTTTTAAAGCCAATGCTTAAACCAACAAAGATCATTTTCTTAAGTTTTAAAAGTACAACTGCGATTAAAATTTATCTGAAGCAGTTTATTTCCATGCCCTACTGACATAAATTGATACAGTACCAGCATAAAAGAGTTGGTTATAATGTAAAAAGGACATGACTTGTAGCAGATAGTCTGCTTAAGAGGGCCCACTTAAGAATGACATTTTTTTTTCGCGGCCCATATTCAACCATAAACAATACAGAGGCTACATAAAGTTCTGATTGGTCAATTCAGAACATGTGACACGTTGTAAATCCAGTAGAAACAGACCGCTGTCAAGGACTGTAATGACCGTTGCTAAGGACGATCGAGAAGAGAAAGGAAAAGCAAATCTATGTTTCCACACAAATTTATAATGTTTTGCAAATTATTTGGTGGCAAATATGAATTTACACTCTTTAATTTGTTATTTGGGCTTTTAGATGAAGACCCGCACACAGTAATAAATACAACTATTCCTCTGACTAAATACATGTTTTTAAAAGTCAATCAAGGAGTAATCTTAATTAAGGTGTTTGAAGAGTAGATTAAAAATACAACTGCTTTTGAAAAAAATGATTGCCACAAAAAATCAAAGGGCGGCTCAAACACGCCATGACATGGGAAATAATGAGCTTCTAACGAAGAGTGGGATAAAGGAACAATAAATATGTTGCCATGTTGTGTTTTTGGTGCTATTTGGTTGTCAACCTATTTCTGTTTGGGAAATGTTTGTGATCCTACTGACTGTATCTTTATTCTCTTCTCCTGTTTTTGTTTGTTGTCTGAGATGGGAATGTCACCTCCTATATTATTTTATTGTTATGTCCATGTTTGTGTCTTTAGCCCTGTACAAAATAAAATAAATAATCATTTGGCGGCCCACTTGCAATGCCTTTGCGGACCCACTAGGGGCCGCAGCCCACAGGTTGGGAACCGCTGGTCTCAAGCATGACTCTCCCTCTGATCAAATGTGTTGTGTATCTTTCCGTCTCTCTACCTCCTGAGGTGCAGGAAGGCGGGTGTAGCACTGCTTCCTGAACTCCTGGTAACTGCTCGCTCTGCATGCCCCCCATCCCCTCCACCATCTCTTTGCTCAGCTTCATGGCGGAGGCAGCTGGTTTGGGGTCTCGACCCAGGATGTAGCCGAAGTCGATGTGGAAGAGCTTCCCTGAATCAAGAAGAGTTAGAATTCAAAATCTGCTCTGTAAACTAGGTTGTAAAAATAAAACACGTATTTCACATTTTCCTCACCGGTTTTTGTGAGTAGCAGATTGTCCAAGTGTCTGTCTCCTACTCCTAAGATGTATGTGATGACGCAGTAACCAGCTGGAAGCAAAGAGAGACACAATATCAGTAAACACTTCTGAAAGTAGAGCATAGTATCATTGCTCTGTGACTCACCGCAGCTCTTCACATATGTGTCCATCACCTCTGAGCTGATGCCGTACGGCCCCTTTTCACTGGGGGCATGCTTCCTGAAGAAGCTCTGTGGAAATAAAAGATGTGAATAAAAGGTATGTTGTTTGTCAGCTTATATTGACTGTTTCTACTTCTCTGCTCACCTGGATGTTGCCTTCAGTCGCCAGGACTTCAGCAACAGGGACGGACTGGACAAACTGCATGAAACCTGGAACAAAATACACTTTTTGATTAGGCTGGAAAATACAGCAATGAAAACACATATTACAAACTTTTAAACATAATTTAACCACCAGTTGAGTTGTCATAGCAACTAAATGTAAATAAGACTCACCGTGCTTGGTGCTGGTGGCCAACACTTTGTACGGCGTCAACTTCAGGTCCAAATTCTCTTTCCTTAAAAGCTATTAACACACAAATCAGGGAAGACATTAGGAAAGCAACAACTGTGCTGTGTGTAAGAGGACATGGATCCAAAGACTGCATTATTAACATTTACTTTCAGCTGATGAGATGTTCATAGAAACAAAACCCAAAGACATCTATGACTATAAATGCTTGGAAGTCTTATTCAATTAAACTACATTTCCCATCCATAAAGTGACTTATCATAATGTTGAGCCTTCTTACTTTGTCCATGAGAGAGATGATCTGCAGGATGAGCTGATCCTGCCTCAGATCGTCTCCGTGTTTGAAGATAACCGGGTACATGGCTCCATCCTCAGCTTTGAAGATCAGTTTAGCTGGCATCAGAGCGCTCTGACACACACACACAGGGAAAAGACTCATGAACTAGTGTCACACAGATACTGGTGTTAGTCCAGACAAAGCACAATGTAGGAATGTAAGTTTCTCCTTGTGTACCTTGAAGAGCGTGGCTGTGTCGGGCACGATGCCTCTGATCCTGATCTGAGGCTCCAGAGGGAGAGGGATGGGCTCGATCTCTGACAGATTCACCTTCTCGTTGTCAGCCAGCAGAGCCTGCAGCCGCTCCGTCTGCAGAGACACAGGGAGGGATGTGAAACAACTGAGCGGGGATCAGTGTGCCCAGAATCAAAGGAAACAGTGTGCACATTCAATAAGACACTGCATGTTTCTGTGAGAGCCAAATGTAACACTCTATAAATATTAGGATACATACAGGATTGTCTTGTCAACAAACCTGCACAAAATAACCTGTAAGTGTTTTGTACAGTTAACATATGTAAGATTTTAACAGGATAACCCTGAGAGGTTAAGCAAATATTTGCATGTGCATTTATTCTGTTGTTACCTTCTTCTTACGATTTCCACTCTCCCTCTGCACGGCTTTCATCAGCTGCACCAGTCTGTCCACAAACGTCTGCTGAGCGGCCAGCAGCGACCGCATCACCCTCACACTCTTATCACCCTGCGGGAAACAGGAAGTGTGTGTTAACAGCTAAAGATATACATATTACGAAAAAAAGGGAAACGTGTATCTACAATACTTTGTGCCTGACCTTGAGCAGAGCCTGGCTGAACCTCCTCATGACGTTCAGGTACATCTCGTGGGTCTTAAGGTCTCTCTGCTGGGTGTCCTGGTCCTCACACTCCACTATCACATACCTGATGAACACACACAGATCAATATAAACACAAGGACTGATTTTCAGTTTGAATAATGAACTCATCTGATTTGAGCTGCTACTCACCAATATAAATAGTTGGCAAGTTCGGAGTTCTTGCAAGCTCGGGAGATGAGAAACGTGCACAAGTCCTGCTACAAAGACACACATTGGGGGATAGGAATACATGTTACATTTCTAGAAAGATACTTTGCTTTTGACCACAACAACTGATGTTAGTTTATGTGTCGGGTAGTGATTATTCCTTTATGGATCCTCCTCTCACCTCTTGAGTTTCACCGTCGGCTCCCTCCTTGCCTTTCTGTGTCGCAGTGGAAGATCCCGATGGCCAGTCAGGATCTGTGAACTACAGAAAGAGAACAATGAGTAATAAGAGATCGCAGCAGTTCAAAAATGAAGTTCATTTGAACCTAAACTGAGATAGTTCAGTATGGACTGCTTTAGACGGCGAGTGCTCTGCCTCCAGATTCTGGCTGCAGCTCTACAGAGTGCGGCCAGTAAAATCACCCTAAGAGTTCACAACGCTTCATGAAAGCAAATAATCAAATTCCGCAAAAGCAGCAAAAACTCTCCCAAACCAGTGTGAAATTCCGAGGTATATTTAGATCTAGGCAGTACAAAACAAACAAGAAAATCTGGAAGGTACAAACTTTTTCCCTCACTCTTCAGAGTAACATCTTTACCGAGTAATCACACCATGTGCCCTGCTTTCCTGTCAAAGCTCCCAGCAGTGCTGACTCATTTACGATCCTCAGAGCACTGACCTGTCCATGGTGGATTCGTCTGAAAGTCCCTGGCTGTCTCTCTTGCTGCCTGGCTCCAGGCCACCCTGAATATCGTTGAAGTTCTCGTACTTCAGCGCCTGGACCAGCTGCAGGAGATACATCAGCAGGTCCTAAAGAGAGAGAAGAGATGGGGAATAAGTATGGATTTTGAATGTAAAGCTCACTTTTATCATTTGAAAACGTGTATATTTTCTGTCAACGTGTAAAGAATTCATTTAAAAAGGGAACAGTTTCACCCAAAATCGGAAAAAACAATGTTTACGTTTCATTTAGCTGACATTTTTTCCAAGAAACGTACAATGAACCATTAGGACACAAAACCCAGAACAGCAAGAAACCTGCAGGTATATTTGTTTCATTAAAGCCATACCATTGTATGCTTGTGCATTGGTCTCCATTGATTTCAATATTTAAATACTTCAAGTTTATATATTTTTGTGCCGAAACAGGTGTGTTTTCAGTCAGCAAAGGAAGACTTTTGTAGATTTTGGCTGTAGAAATGTCTGCATTCTCTCAAATGTAATGGAACCATAGGGAAGTTCGCTAGAGGTGCACAACTCGGTTAAAATAATACATTTAAAAAACAAGAAATGTAACAATTAAGGGTGAACTGTCACTTTTAAACAGCTCTGTCATCATCATGTTGTTATAAATACACTTTGGAAGGTAAACTTTGAAATGCTTTGTCTCAGGAGAATTTAAAGTTCTATACACACAAAACAGAGTTATCATTTCATGCCCACACGAGTATCCTTCTGTCTCCCCCTGACCCTCTCAGTCCCCCTGACCCTCTCAGTCCCCCTGACCCTCTCAGTCCCCCTGACCCTCTCAGTCCCCCTGACCCTCTCCACTTCCTCCTCCTACCCTCATCGTCGGCCTGCTGCAGGCGCGTCACAGCGTAGCGTCGCAACCGTGGGGTTGAGAACTGGGAGGACAGCAGCTCCAGGGAGTCCTCCACGTCCATCGGCCTCCACTTCCCCAGCATCTCCAGGGCCTGCTTGGCCTCCTGGGGCAGGTCCACGTTCACACCACTTCAGGAACTTTGTCAGGGCCTGCAGCGAGAGGAGGAGGAGGAGGAGGAGGAAGAATATCATTCTGTAGAGATGAGAGTTGATAGAGGAGCACGATTAGCTTTGGGTATGTTTGGAGTACAATATCATAAAGACACCCACCTTCTCCTGCGTGGTGAGGTAGTATCTGAACTTCCACCCAGGTCCTGCTCTTCAGAGCTCAGCTGCTTCGTTGGAGGGTAGCTCACGATGATCTGATGGGAACACACACACACACACACCAACACACACACACAACACAACACACACACACAACACACATGCACACACACACACGAGCACACACACACACAACACACACACACACACACACACACACACACACACACACACACACACACACACACACACCACACACCACACACACACATACTACATTCACACACACACCACACACACACACACACACCACACACACACACACAACACACACCACACACACACCACACACACACACACACACCACACACACACACACCACACACACACGGTGTCAAAATATGCTTTCATATCCCTTCTTTGATCCTAACTTATGCGTGACACGCAGAGTGCAATATGTATATCTTTTACTTTAAAACTGTTTGTTTCTTAGCTGAGTTACAATTAAAACATCTGTATAATTCACTGTAAGAGCACAGGAATGCAGAGCTAGAGCTGGTTATCCAAACAAATAATCACTACTGATACTGTTGGAGAGCTTATTGGTTGATTTAATCACTTTTTCTAGTTGTCAGGAATCATACTGCCTGTCACTCACATTGAGCTGTGTCTCTCAGTGGCAGCGTTGGCTTCAGGTCGTGATCCGATGGCCCGCTACGGAGGGCTTCGAGCCAGCTTGTGATGCTTGCTCTCTACCAGGTTCTCCTGTAAAAAACATTAATTGTAAAATACTGCATATATAGGTTTATACACTATAGATTAAACCATGCTAAATATATTATATATGTACATAAATGTGCGTGAAAATCACCCAAAGCTAAGCGAATAAGTATCTACCTTTTTCTGCACATTACACGAAGCCACCATATATTATTTGTTGTATATTGTGTGGTTATGTATGTGTGTGTCCTCTCACCATCGCCATCTGTGGGGTCAGGAACTTTGACGATGTCGCAGCTGGTGAGAACAGGTGACGCGTCGTCTCCATCCTGAGAGGGGACAGAGTGAAAGACACCATCAGTGTCATCACTTCCAGTGTGTTTTAGACATGTTTATTAAGTTGAATTTCACCTAGAAATAATACCTTCTCGTAATAGACAATGCTGTACTCCTTGTCATTTGTTTTGACGCGGGGAAACTCCACCATGAGGGTACATGAAGTTAGAGCTGCGTTTCTCACTCTGCGGAGACATACATGGAGAAAAAAATAAAAGAATTAGTAGGATAAGGACACAACATTGACTTATTATCCCCCAAGTTGCGGGCCAGATAGCTAAATAATGAGTCGACACCCACTATAAGCTTGATATCGTCCAACTTTTTCAAATAATAAATTATAGCCACTTAAAATAGCTCGGAAAACCCTGCCTTACAAATACTGAAATAGTTTCTACATTCCTCCAATCTGTGGAGTGTGACGAATCTGTACTTTCCGGGTCATAATGATTATTTCTGACATTACGCAGATTGGTTCATGACTGCGTGTATGACTCTGATTGTGTTTATAACATAGTACAAACCTAAGAATCTACAATCGTCTGTGCACAGTGTTAGTACTAATTATCAAAGTTAGCATGCTAATTAGTAAAAAGTCAGAAGTCATGAGGTTTCGTCCTCTGAGAACGATGCATTTCTTTCAAAATCGTCATGGCATTCTATTAAATAGTGGTTAAGATGATTTAGTTGTGGAGGCAACGTCGCCTTTTTCTACTCCAGGATCAAAAAAAGTTCTGTTTTGAAAACACAGTCCAGCTAAACCCACTCACCTCGTTGATCATCTCAATCTCTCTGAAGGTCAGACGGTCCAGCCAGTCGACCTTCACCATGTGGCCCTGTCGATGGGCCTTCGTCAGCTGCATGGAGAGAGAAATGGAGTGGGATGGGAGGAAGAAAAAAGGTTAACCAAAAATATAAAAATCTCAATACAGAGGTTGTGATTTCTGTAGCGGCAGAACTGGTCGTAGCATGGTGGCAAACAGCTCGCCCAATCATGCACAATCCAGTGCCAGCAGCCAATCCAGCGCCTCTGGTCACACACTCAGCAGCCAATCAACTCACCAGTGGGGGGGTCAGGGGTGTAAGCACACATTGGCCATGAACAGGAAGCCTAGCCCTAGTTAGAGTTGGCACTATGCCCTCAGGATTGATAAAGATATATCTGAATGTATTTTGTGAATGAAATAGTTAACATCCAATCAGATTAACTCAAATCAAACGAGCTCCCTGATGCCCCCCAATACATATTTCCAAAAAGCTGCAACAAGTTGGCCAAAACGTTCTTGTGTCCAAATAAACAACAAAAACATGCACACAAAACTATGGCAACAGCAGAAAATAATTCAAAACCCATGTGTGTGATGCTTTCAGAAGCCGTACAACTTGACAGACAAGTGTTCACACAAAAGTCAAAAAGGTATTGCAGTAAATAGGTTTTTATTTTTTAATTGTGATAATTCTCATTTAAGCAGTGAATGATGGAAGTGAAAAGAGTTTTTTTTTTGCAAATACGTTTGGACCATGGCCTGTTTCACACACCATACAGTACACAAACGCACAAATACTGCAGTGCCAACACTAACGCTCCTCTTGTACTCACATCACCTAGTATCTCCAGGTCAGGGCCCTGGAACAGATGATGATTTAGACACATCTGTCCACCTTTTCCAACACACACACATGTCCCTAATCTTATTCCTTTCCCTTATCCATTTATGTAGCCGTTTAGTAAACACACCACATCCCTTTTCTCCCCAATCCTTAACCCTATTCTCCTGTCCACAGACATACAGTACTGTACCTTGGCGAGTCTGCCCATCTGGTCCTCCGTCAGGCTGGTTGCTGGTGCGTCCGGTGTGTGGTGGTGGGCTCGCCTCCGTTCCCCTCCACACCTGGCCACACTTTCAGGTCATGCATCCCTTGCCGGAACATACTAGAAGACAACAGGCGGAGGTGTTTTAAAAATCACGTGTGTTTAATTGAACTTGTACATTCAAATCTTACAAGTGCAGCTGTAAGTGAAGTAATAATTAATCCTGGTGCCAAAATAAAGAATATTCCAACATGTTTTACAGTCATTAACGAGTTTAGACTGACCCATATTTGCCAAACAGGGTGACAGTGGTTCCTCCAACTGGGACCGCTCTGCCGGGTCCATATATGTCCCAAATTGTGAGAGCAACCTGGGCACTTTGGGGAAGGTCTGGGTACTTGACAGGCAGCCGCAGCCACTCATTCCAGCTGTAGAGGTGTGAGAGATGGTAAGAAGAAAGAGAAAAATGTCAGAATAACTAACATTTAACTACGGTAAAAAAAAGGATTTGCACGTTTTTTAGGCGCTGTTTGTGTCTTTTAAGCACTGAAGAAGGCAAAATAAGAAGTAGGGTAAACTGAGAGGAATTTCTTTTGAAGGTGAACATTTTTCTAATATACATTACGATTAAGATTTTAACAATGGCATCAAAAGGGGTATGTCTGCTAAGTGACTGAAATAAGAAAAGAGACAGATTTGTTCTCACTTCCAACGTGTGCTAAACGCTTTGTACGAGGTGCGGACGGGCAGGGCGAGAGGTTTTCCTTCAGCGAACACCTGACAGGTGACGTAGAGGTCCGAGCAGTTTTCCTGGGTAGAGGCCGGAGAACCGCAGCATGGGGTCTTCCAGCAGAGCTTTGTAGCTGTTCTGCTCTCGTTTCCCCTCTAAACTGCCTCTGGAAGAAGAGAGGAGACAGAGAGGGCGGTAAGGAAGGGGAGACGTTGTTTTCTGATGCTTTCAAGAGTACTCTCACTTGTTCACTTACAGATAAGTCAAATTAATTAACTTTCTTGGCAGGTTTAAGATTGTTGGTAACTTAAATCAATGTTACCATCTTCACATTATGTTGATATTCTTGATAATCATGATAAAAACCCATTTCTGTAACAGACTTATAAGACAGTTAATTAGAACTTTAATACATCCACAAACATTGTGATTATTTATTTCATGTGGTGTGCATGGAGGAAGTGATAAAAGAGAAATGATATAATAACAAACGCATTGTTTAAGAGAGGTTACAAACAACAAAGGTCTTATTGTAAAGCCCCCCCTCTAGGATTTAAAATGTATCCTATTAGGCTACTATGGAGAGTTTTGCCTTCTCATATGTGAGTATTGGCTTACTTTTCTTACAGATATAGGTCACACTAGAAATAAAAATAAAGAATATGATCATTTTCAATAAACGTATATATTATTCTCTCCACTAATCAATGAGTTCGTCCATAAAAGGCCTATGTATCTACTATTACAACGTAAATCATAGAGCAACAGCAAATGATTACATGTTGGCCAGATGAATACTTATTTAATCATCAAAATGAATGCCTATTATGTCCAGTAATACATGGGGAAAGTGATTGAAACACAGGGTAAGAATACATCTCCATACACATTTTAACGCATGTCCCTGGGAATATTAAAGTGAAATGTGATATTTACTTGTCGGTTTGATTAAACTCCGATAGATAAACAGTGTCTTATGACATATTTTAAAGCTTAAAGTCATAAAATCATGTAAAATACACACATGTCGTCCAACACTCACACAGACACACAAACAGACCAAGTATCCTGTTAAGTCACAAGATAGATTAGTTACACTGCTGGATACATAAGCGACGCATTATAAGTACAACACTTACATCTTAAGTTGAACATTGATGTCCATGTCACAGCTGTAAACATAGTTGAATTTATCAGTGTCCATCTTCCGACGGAAAAAAACACTTAATTTTAATAAAAAACCTGAACAACATGAAAATCCCGGACGGTTATACGAGACTTGGCGAGCGGTTGGGTTTGCGACAAGGCCCTCGGCACAAAAACACCGTTTGAAACTACCTCTCACACGGAAAGCTAATTTATAAGCGTGTAGACAAGTTTAAAAATGTAACTTGTACTGTGTGTATTCACGGTAAAGACATTATTTTAACCGCTGTCTCACCGGGCATGATTTAATGTTTTTGATAAGCTACACACAACAAACACAGCATCAGCCAAATCTACAGCCAGGCCAGAGTAGTCAATCCTCGATACAGCACGATAGATAAATTCAACAGGCAATCATTGTATCGTGTTGTGATTTGTCGAGTCTGATAGAACCAAGGAGGAAGTAGAAAAGAGGCGGGGTTAACAATACGCTTATTAAAGTGACAGTTCACCGAAGAGTGGAGCAGCAAAGCCCAAACACACATTAACCTGTTTCTCCACCCAAATTAAGGAAAACGGTGGAGTCATTTGTTTATATTCCACTAACGATATATATCTTTACTGTTGTATTTCATTGTACCTTTAATTCATGTGCAATGTTTTATCTATCTGCTGTGACGAAAAATAAAATCCCAAATTAGGATCAATAAAGTGTATCTAATACACCACGTTTTAGGTTATGTGAACTGGGCATACTCTAAACAAAAAATTGCATTGAAATTGGTATGTGTATTATTAATTATTTGCTGAAGAAACATACAGCTGTGGGAAATATGCAGATTAAGTTTTTATAGCATGAGTTCACTGGACTTTAAGGCTGCAGTTTGGTCTATATGGAAAATATGTATTATGTGTTAAAAACTCCCCATCAAACATTCCTGTTACAAAACATGATGACAGCCCCTTGAACTTTCATTTCACAGAAAGGTCACCAAATTCAAACGCACTTGTCCCTAATGAAATGCATATCCGTGAAGGGCAACAGGCGTTTGTAAGGAAAATCCTCATCTTTTGTTTTATGGGTCCTCCCTTTTCCTCCACATTGACGACAACCAGTTGTCAAATCAGGTTGTGAACTCATCGTCGGGATATTGTATGGGACCCTCAGGCGCTGAAGAGGTCAGCACCACCCGAGTTGAACTGATGTAAGAACATCTGCCAATAAAACATCTTCCAACGTCTGAAACAGCATCAGAATAAATTCAATTAAGGTTGAAACCGACCGCTGGCGCTGACCCTCCTCAAATCATCTCTGCTATCAGGTACGATATTTATCGTTACCTGTGTATTACTCATGTCAAGGGCACCAATACTTGAACTGCAATAAGTCTTCATAGAACCAATGTACAGCTTGAGAGAGGCAACTGTGAGTCATACACATGTATGAAGAAGAAGCACCCCGGGACTGATGAGGCCTATCAACACTCTCCGACTACTGTAGGGGTACGAGAGAAAAAGCACGTAAAACACCACGTTAAGAGGCCCCGGGGCCTCCTGTGGGAGGCTAGAGAGGATTTTTCCTATGATCTCGCACCTCAGACAGCAAACAACTGGAAGAAGATGAGCTAATGTTTTGTTGCCCCAGGCAGCGACACTATGCTGACTAGTCAGGGTCACATCTTATATTTTAAGATTACACAGAAATGCACACGTGTGCACGACATACAGCAAACTAAAGACCAGTGGAAGATGGATTTTGGGTTATCGAAAAAACATATAGGCCAAACTATGAAAAGAAGCACACACCTTTTGTGATAAGAGATGGGATAAAGAAATAACATTTTTTATTATTTTAAGCTTGACCTAGAAATGGCAGCACAACTACTCTATTAAAGCAATTACATAAATATGATTTAATATGTTTCTTCTTACTTAATACTCTGCATATCCATCATTCCTTATGGGTTGGACGGGACTGGCATGAGGTCACAGACTGGAGTTAACAGTGTGACATCATTAATATGAGGTCATTCTGGAGGTAGGGGTCAGAGGTTATAGCAGAAATGCATATACATGTATGTGTGCAGTGTGGTTAAACGTACAGATGGGTGTGAAATTAAACATTACATCTACTGGAGGAATGAATCTGGTTAAATAAAGGTTAGAAATGAAATGAACATTAAATCCTAAGAAAGAAATTCCCTCATTTAGTGTCTTGATGATTTTGGTGGAGACACTTGAAGCTCTTTCTACTCTATATTTTGAGTGTAGACATTTGATATTACTTTAGTGTATCAGGCATGTGTTTTAAATGTACATTAAGGCAAGGGTAAGTTAATGTCTGTTTATTTATGTAACATTTTAGCAACAAGGAAAGTGCTTACCACGAGACAATGTGCAAACGAGAGTAAAAAGCGAAATAGAAAGCCATCTAAAATAGAAGAAGATGGATATAAAGTATAAGAATAAAGGTTAGAGTGCAGTCAGCTTATGAAATTAAAGGAAAATAATGTATTTAATAAAAGGCACTGGCCAACAAGAGATTTGATTTAAAAATAAATAAATTCCCCAGGTTTATGGTGCATAAAAACTAAACGCTGCTTCTCCACGTTTACTCTCGACTCTGGGGACAGGATTGAGACCGCATTAGACACATCTTTAGTTACTGGACATCAACCTGGCTGAGAAACCATATGAAAGGTTGAATGGTGATGAATCATGTTTGATAATTCCATCCCATCCCTCTCTCTCTCCTCTCCCCCTGCCCTCCATCTCACCTCTCTCCTACCCTTCCCTCTCTTAGTCACCACATGGATGTGTCATTGTTTCTATCACTTTTTAGAAGTTCATGCCCACTGAAGCGCAGCGAGGTGATCTCCGGAGTGCCAAAACACCGCCAAGATCCTTACACCCCCCCCCCCCCCCCCCTCCACACAGACCACCACCTCCTCGTTCCCCAATGGATGGCACCGCTGACACCTTCCTCCGCCAGGCCTGTGGGCCACATGACGGTCTGACCACACCTCCACGCCAGGCTCGTAAAGCCCCAGGATGTGTATAAATAAGGGAGCAGAAGGAGCAGAAGAACCAGAAGCTGATCAAACCAGATGAAGATGGAGCTCGTCGGGGTTAACTGGTTCTTGCCGCTGCAGGTTTTCTTTCTGTGGACCAGCGTTGGTTCTGCTGCTCCCATGGTGTGCCACTATAACTCCAGAGGTGAGGTCCCATGCTTTAAAATGTAATCTGAAAAATGAAATACATATTTGCAATGTTTCTGAGTTGTTTTTGTGTCGTTGCAGCACTGTGTGAGTTCCAGGGGAAGAACTACTCGCTGGGGGAAAGCTGGATGGACAACGCCTGCATGCAGTGCACCTGTCTGCACCCTGTGGGAGTCGGCTGCTGCGAGACGTGAGTACACAAAAAACCTATGTGGTTGGAAGCAAATCAGTAAAAGTGGGGGATCAAAACGGATGTGTCTTCATCAAGAAATGTGGGTATAGTGGTGGACAGTTAGCAGGCACATTTGCTCACGTATAGACCATTTTTAGATACTTCTTACTTGAGTATTTCCATTTAATGCAACTTTGACTTCTACTCCACAGCAATCTAGAAGCAAATATTGTACTCTTTCCTCAACTAAATGTATCTGATAACCTAAGTTATCAAATAATACAAAATAAAATCAACTAATATTGAATCATGTATTAATACATGTCAAGATACTTAATTGATCGCTTGTGGAAATGCACAAAATTCAGGCAGAACTTGAATTAATATAGCATAATACAGTTTAAAAATACTATGTACATTTTGACTGAAGTACCAGCTGAATGTTTGACCTATAAGGGTTACACAGAACATTGGTCATGCTGAAGAACTGTTATTATTGTTTGATTAATATCATCTCTAACAACATTTGTGTACATTTATTAAGGAACCCTTTTAGTTTAGTTTAGGAAGATTCACTTGATATTTGGCAACCTGTAACTGCAAAATTAGTCAAATGAAAAGAAAAAAAGGAGAGTTCAAGGAAAAGTGTTTTTTGAAGCCATGAGTGATCGAAGAAGCTGCTGACTGCTCTCTTTTACCTCGATATCGGTCCAGGGTGCAGCGGCCGGTGGACTTCCCCGCGTGGTGTGAGCTGCGTGTGGAGCAGCTGACCTGCAGCGTGTCCCCTGGTCCAGACAGCCGACCCCCCGCCTGCCCTGCTCCCCCGGGGAGGGCATGAAGGACCCCGGCCACGGCTCCTTTGATCTGAAGCAGCAGCAGCTCGACTGGTAGAAAACCATCTCAGACACCGCTATCTGTTCAAGCTGTTTGCCTGTGGAACCAGTACTCACTAGGGTTAAATACCAGTAACCACTTTATACACAAACTGTATCAATATAAGACGTAACAGCATTTGTTCTTTCTGGATTGTATTATAAATGAAGGAAATGTGAGTGAAATGTTTATCTGAAAATATGATTTTAGCACTGAGCATTAAATGTTAACAACTTGGTAAATATGTAAGCATCTATATTTAGATCTTTATTTTCAGTATGTTTTTGCTTCTTCTATTAATCCAACAATGACTCATTGTAAATATAAGCAAATATAAGCGTACATTAATATATATAACTATTCCTGTTGACCTGTTCTCTGCTGTAACTCATTTACCCTCTTAATAAAAATCTTGTTTTTAACAAAGAATGTTGAATTTTGTGAAGAAAAAAAAAAATGGCTTCCTCCCACATAATCTTTCAAATTTAAAATCACACTTTTAATGATTTTTTCTTGTAGTATTTACATTTCAATGCAGCCTTTGCACAAGCTGAAAGAAAAAACAGGAAAACAGTAAAAACATTTGGATTAAGAAACAGCTGTTTCCTAATATGTGCGAGTGAGTAAAGGGATCAAAAATAAAATAAATACAGAAAAACACCGCAACCACGAACACAGTTGCATGTCATTAGGTCCAAAAATAAAGAAGGTTAAGATGCACTGCAAAATGCATAAGAAACAAGGCAAAAAATAGGTTGCATAATATACATATGGAATCCATCACTGGCTCTGCATAAACAATGGAATCAACAAAAACATAATGCTCCTGAAATGTGCACCTCTGTGCTAATAGTGTCTCTCACGCACACACTCCCATTGATGCCTGAATGTCTCACGTTCAAAAGGTCACACACACACAGCGGTCAAATGGTGATGCTGTTGGTCCCTGAAAAGTGGGACATGTAGGATGCCAAGGCCGGGTTGGTGGGGAAGACTTTGATAGGCAGATCCCAGCTGAAGGTGTCCACGGTCCACGTGCTCCGCCCCTGCCCATACGGTGACCTCTGATTGGTTCTGCAGAACTGTGGGCGGCTCCATAGGCTCCCGGGCGGTGACGAATTCAAAGTGAAGGCGCCACCTCAGCATCACTGTAGAAGCAGAGATACATTTGATAGTTAAGTTAACAGTATGGTTATTTACATTTTTCAAACAGTTAATCGTTAAAATCTCCACTTTATTCACAAAAAAGTTTCCATATTTGCCGTGTGAGTCATTTCCAGTAACATTTAGTCTAGTGATGGCTCATGAAACATTATATTAATAAAATGTCTAACACCCAAATCTTCTCTATGTCAAACTTTTGAGTAACACTAATCTACAGTAGAAGTCATTGTAGTAGAGACCCCCATTCGTGCCATTTTTGATTGCTAGAACACAGTGTATTATATTATTGTTATTATTATTATAAGTATGGCAAAAATATCTGAATATGGTGTCTGAAATATCACTAGATGTCATATTTGACATGTTTCAAGCCGACAGATGACTGACCTATGTCGGTGCTGAAGCCCGGCGTGACGTTGAGCGGGATGGGCAGAGAGAAGTGGCTGGAGGCGGTGTGCAGGCACGACTCCATGTGGCGCCCGTGTCCTGTCACACTGAGGATCTGTCCGGGGCGCCGCTGGTGCTGCTGCTGAATCTCCTCCTCACTCTGAATGCTCACCGAATACTGGAATACATACACACAGGGTAATATAAGGTAACGTTTTACAACTAAATGTACCACAGTGGTACTTGAACGAGAAGAGATAACACACCTGCAGGCAGGGAATATCTCCCTCTGAGAAGTTAAATGTGCCAACGATGTCCTCGCCGAGTCTGTAAACTATCTTGAAGATGCAGAACTTTGCCACTTTCCCACGCATATTGGTGATATTAAACATGTCTGGACAAAGCAAAAGGAATAAAGTCAAACTAGGACATTCAAATAAAGAAGTGTGGAAAACATAAGAAGTAGAGAACACAAGGCAAGGCAAGGCAAGGCAAAGCAAGGCACCTTTCAACACAAGGCAATTCAAAGTGCTTTACAACAATGAAAGACATTAAGAAAATGGCATTTAAAATCAGTCATTAAAAAGCAAAGATAATCAAATAAACATTAAAAAAATACATGGATAAAAGTTACAGTGCAGTTTGAGATGTGAATAGTTCAATTAAAAGCAGCGGCAAAAAGAAAAGTCTTCAGCCTAGATTTAAAAGTAGTCAGAGTTGCAGCGGACCTGCAGATTTCTGGGAGTTTGTTCCAGATATTTGGAGCATAATAACTGAACTTCTCCATGTTTAGTTCTGACTCTGGGGACAGAAAGCTGACCAGTCCCTGAAGACTGAGAGATCTGGATGGTTCATAATTTAGCAGGAGGTCAGAAATGTATTTTGGGCCTAAACCATTCAGTGCTTTATAACCAGCAGCAATATTTTTAAATCAATTCTTTGACACACAGGAAGCCAGTTGTAAAGACTTCAGAACTGGAGTGACGTGATCCACTTTCTTAGTTCACAAGTCATATTTAGAGATTGAGAGTAATTACTAAAACACTATTACTATTTACATCTATATTATTAGTACTATATTTTTTTACTTTTATCATCCAGGACACATATAATAGGTAAACATGTCAAATCTAGCTTGAAGTTAGCTGCTTTGCTGGTAAACAAAGGTACATCTTTTACATCTCGCTGTCATAAATGTAACAATTGAGCTAGAGAGGCAACACCATTTAGTTAATTGCTCTAAACTTACATTTTTACTTGGGAATGATAGATGACATCAAGCGTACATTTAACAAAATAATCTGAAAATGTTCAATTTAAAAGACAAAAAATAAAAAAACATAATGAAAACTGATTAAAAAAAGAATAATGCTTTGTATTTAAAAGGCAACTAGTGTGAGACATAGGGCTTCAAAATACAGCAAAGAAAAGCGAGATGACGATGAGACTCACGGGGGCAACGTCTCGATGTGGTGATCATCAGCATGTCCAGAGCTCTCTCTAAAGGTCGAGCATCCCTCCGGCTCGCTTCCTCTTCCTCCAGGAAAGGGTTGGAGGGGCAAACTTCCTCGTCCTGGGGAAATGGAGGCTCTGGCATGCCTACAGTTCAGACAGGATCATGTTAGCTATCAAGTTCTTGTTGTAGTAGTTTTTAATCATTCTAATTCTTCCAAATACAGTTTGTTTAAGCACAGTAATCACTTCTCATGAGTTTTTAAAGTTTAAGTCACGCCACTTTATCAGCACTGGAAGCATTGCTGTGCAAAATGCTTGCAACTAAACTTAAGGGTAGGCGAAAGTGTATCTGACCTTGTAGAACCAGCACTCTGAAGGGAACTCGGAGCAGTTTGATGGGCGAGTTGACTCTCTGGCAGCCGATGGTCAGTTTGTACACATACTTCACTGCCTGACCACGGTAACTAGGAGGACCATCTATGGGTACGATCTCACTGTATGAATCTGTGGAAGAGTGAGCACTCATGTCAGACTGTTAGACAGAAACAAATATGTTAATTATAAATGTTGCACGACCATTTGGGGAAAAATTAGATATGAAGCATCCAAGAACTTTATACTGTAAAACTAGTGATTTGTATGGACGTAGACTTTTTTTCACAATGTACATACAGGTTTTGCTCTCCCCGGGGTCCAGGCGCAGGTCACAGAATAATATTTTAGGTGGTGTGTCCAGGCACACATTGACCCCGCTCTCCTGTAGAAGAAAATAAAGAGTTTTGAAGGGATTTAAGGCATATTAATGATACAATAATAAGGCTAACCAACAGTGCTATAATATCCAGAACCTTTCTTCATAACAGATCATTCATGTACACTAATTTCTGCTTTTCTCTGATTTCGTTTTCTCCTCTCCCAAACTAACCTCTGCTTGGAATAAGCACTGTGTTGCTCTCAGCCTGGACATCGTGTTTGTTGCCCTGGGTCGGCAGAGCCACTCTGCTCTCACTGGCATGAAACTGGCAGTGGATCTGAGCACTGGCCCATGCCAGCATCTCACTGAGACACAGTCAGAAAACACAGTTACAAAAGGGTATCTACAGAATGATTAGTTACACGATTGATTTAACTGTCTTGCATTACATACATGGTCCCAATCCATATCGTGTTACAAGACACACACAAAAAAGGCATTTCGAAGGATCATAGCTTAACTCTTATCAGGCTCCATGGGCACTGCATGTTGCATACATAAACTAAATAAATGCTTTTCAGGGTTCAGGAACACCTTAATATTTGAACACAGCAATGGGCAAAAGACAGGTTTTGAAAGATCATACCTATTATGGGTAAATGCATTAAAGTTTTAAAACCCTACCTGCTGGCAGAGGTGGACAGGTGGGACATCGGGTTGGTGAATGTTATGAGACACTCCATGAGCTCCCCGGCGAGAAACACAGGGCCTCGGGCCATGGAGGCCACCACCTCGATCATCTGTAACGTTAGACGCCAAAAACACTACATTACTACATAACATCACTACTGTGGCGATCATAATGCACTGAGATCAAGCATGCTTTGTTATTCTGGAAAGATAACACTACATGTTTGCACATACCGCTACATGCTAAACAGAAGCTGAATAGTTTGGACTGCTTGCTAGCTAAAAGCTACTATTTTAGGGTCAATATAAACATACATACCTTGGCCTCAAACGTTACTGTTGCGAGGCAAAACGCTGTCTTGTAGATCGGAGCACCTAAATGTACTTTCGAGAAAGCAAATATACCCTCCTTCCCAAAGTACTAGACATGGCGTATGAGGTTAGCTAGCATTTCAGCTACAGTAAACAACACATCCGCCTCCGTATGACCAAGCACTAACCAAGGGATGCACAATTAATATATAAATATCACAACTATAGAAGAAAAAAACATTCTCTTTAAGAATATGTTTTGTCCGTCATCATTGTTTTACCTCGATCTTAATCGAACTTTTTTTTACAAAAATAAAACAACAGTGTAGAAATACAGTAAAAGTTTTTGGTCGACCATTTAGAAGCCGTCCCGTGGCACAGTTAGCGAGAGGTGGACTGTTGCTATGGTAACTTGTAGGGAGGCGTAAGCTCAATATGTAAACAAAACATTTAATTTTGTGCGCTAACACTTCACATTCTTCAGGAATCCTTTCAATACGGTCTTTATACTTTTATATTTATTCACATGGAGCAATGGCTGTCAATTGTAGGGGAAATGTATAAGTGTTAACTAATACATGTCCCCCTTTCTACTGAGAAAATGGTACAGTCTCAGCAGCGGCTTTGCCCGTTTCCTGCACTGTGTATCCCTACAGCACACTTATCAGGCTTCCTTTACTACCAGGCGGTTTACTGATTTTGACTTTATCAAGCTCAAGCATCAATTATCAACCTTCAAAATATGTAATCTAAAAGGGTTTTCTAGCTAACTGATGTTTTAGATCGGCCAATCTTGTAAAAGGAAGGGGAGTGCGTATGCAGCCTGATCGAAATTGTCACCTGAAAGACAGAGCTGAGGCCATACACTTGTTATTTTACAGCGACAAATGTAAATCATTTGCATATTGAGCAGATTGAGCCACCGCGCTAGCAGCAGAAGCTACAGTCCTGCAGACAGAGGTTGGTTTGGAGCAGCTGTGGAGTGACGTCGTTCTGGTATTAAAACAAATAACTTACTCTTCTCTACTGCTGTCAAGGCCGAGCTATTTGCTAATAGCTAACAAAGTTTGCCACTGTAACCAGCAGCGGTTGGGTAGCTAACGTTACATGATTCATATTAACTAATGTTGTCAGTTTGCAGTTTTGCATGATATCGGCCCTCCTGTATTTCTATCAGATGGATGTGATCACTCCTTTTAACCATTTTCTCTGATCTTCTTTGATGTCATTGTAGGTGTCCCGGCTTTTGTTGAGCTGTCATAAGGAAAAACATCCGGACTACATGCAGAGGGGGCCAAGGGGTCTGCTATCTCTGAAAACAGGAATCCAGAGAGTGATGGTGATGCACATTGCTGCAACTAACCCCTGACGATATGGACATACTGAGCTATAGAGGCTAAATTCTCTTGTGGATATTGAGAGTATTATAATGGCACTGGGACATGCAGGTATTCAGAGCTTGTTGGATGAGAACCAGTTTACCCCACAGGAATAACTTCTTGATCATCTACTTGCAGATTTCACATGCTACCTCCAGTGAAAGCATTGATAAAGTGGTTGAGATCTTCCTGATTTCCTACTCCCATTCATACATTCTTTAAGCTCCCCTCACCTATATCCTGCTAAAATGACTACTTCAGAGTGGGGTGAGAAATCCTCAGCGGACCTTATGAGTCGGTATGTCCTCCAAGGAAATGGGATATGGAGTTCCCAAGGAGGGATGGCGTATCTGTCTGGCACATGAGTTCAAGGAGAAGAGGGAAGCCCTTTCAAGCAAAGGATGTCTCGCTGTCCAACGTCTTGGAGCACGTTGGGCTTGGGATCAGGTGAGACATTCATGGGTTAAATGAGATGGGGAGTTACTTATTTACCTATGCAAGTTTTAAAAATCAACACCACCTCGTCTACAGGACCACACCCATTTTCCTGTGGTACATGAACTGGTCCGACTACAAATATTTGTCATTGAAAATCAGTAAATCAACACTATGTCTCAGAGCACACCGTGGTTAGTTCCTTTATTGACACAGGGTGTTTTCAGTTTACACCTCCCTCTCATGTAATGGCAACCTTTAAATAGTCTATACCCATTTAACCCATGAGACTGCTTTGACAGAGGAGTACCTGGGGAGGCATTGGCATACAGTGTCGTATTTCTCAAGCCACCACAGAGAGCAGGTAATCCTGCCTGAAGTGGTTAAGGCTGGCACAAGTTAGATTTTTTTTAATATAATTTTCTATCAACATAAATATGATATAACTAATAACTGTCTACCTTAGAGCAGTCTCAATGACATACATGACGTAAGAAGCACCAAAACAGTAGTATACCCATTTTTTCTTCTGCATTTTAAACTGATAATGCATGAGGGAGTACATTTTATGCTGTCCTGTGTGTATTAGCTTTTGTTTCACCCAGATAGGTGTAGCAACTGATTAACAGAGTAAACAGCTCTTTTGCAACACAGTCTACCATTTAGCTTTGTCTATTCGTGGGGTTGATAGATAGTGCTTTGTGTTTCTTGCAAAAACGGCAAACAAGTAACTCTATAAATGTTCAGTTTAATCAAAAGTATGTGCTTACATTCCATCCTTACTGAGGTAATGGACATGTATTTCAAAGTCAAAGTCAAAGTCAGCTTATTGTCAAAAATTCTACATGTGTTATACATCCAGAAATATCGAAATATCGTTTCCCACAGTGTGACATGTATACATTAAACAAAACAAAAAGGGCCTAGATAACCGGGGTATACAGTTTAAAATGTTAATAATATAATATTTGACACTAGATCCAGGTCAACTTTTAGTTCAAGGTTCAGGACATTTACTCTTCCAAGTACAAGATTGAGATTGCCAATCTTTCCACTCATAAAGTTCTCAGAGATATAGAGCATAAAACTCTGAATTGTCACCCTAAAGCTATAAAAAAACATCCAGTACAGATTTCAACATCTGTTGATCTGATCCTGTTTGTTTTCCTGACAAAGACATGCTGCTGCTTTTAGTGGATTGTCGGCACACAGCCAGCAACATTTGTCTTATCATTTCAATCGTGAGAGCGTGTCTCTGTGACCGTCAATATCAGTCTGGCATCAGGCCTCGGCTGATTTATACTGATTTATACTGATTTATACTCCCTGTTGATGATGGCCATAAAGATATGTACTTTGACTGAATAACTTTAAGCTTTTACATCCATCCTAATCACTGCTATTACTGCTTCTACATTTGTTCACATTGTCTTAACATGTGACACCTGCAGTGCAATGTAGATGTTTTTAACTCCGCGTTAAACCACAAACTTGCTTCATATTTCAGAAATCCTTTGCAATGTTGTGGTTATACAATCATACTGCATGTGAAAACTGAGAAACAAAACACAATCTTTGTCAACTCTCACCTTAAGGTTAGTTAGAGTTAGTTAGTTATTGCACAGACTAATGGGGTCGTTATTATTGTGTAGTAGGAGGTTCTACCTGGGTTAATAAGTTTAAAGAAGCCTTTACTGTTGGACCAATGTATAGAAATACTGTACATTTTCTGAGCTATTTGCACAGTATACTGAACCAAGAAGAAACAAGCTCATACAGCTCTTATAATAAACATTCAAGGAGAAGGAACAATGGGATTGTGTATCTTTTAGTAAGGGAACTTTGCCCTTTGCTGCAAGCTCTTGCCAGCTGTGGGTAGGTTTGGTCTTCAGTGGAGAACATGGCAGCTTGAGCACACACAGGTTAGATTCAGGTTTGCATACGTTGCTTTTATTCAGAGCTTATCAGGGTGAGGTCTAACTGTTCGAATTTCAGCTGAGCTACGAACAACACCTTCCTGACTATAATGCAACCTGCAATGGCTTTGAATTACTCACTTTAACCAAACCTATTCATCTCCTGAGGGGAGCGGCACTGTTGTTTCTCTGGACTGAGCTTTTCTGTTCGTGTACATTCAGGCCCTGCTCCGGCATTCACAGCAATTTGGCATGGGATGTTCATTGCAACAAGTAGAAAGCCCTCAAATGTTATTCGTTATTTTTGTATGTAAACAAGAATGCTGAGCACTAAGCCTCTCAGAGTTGTGACTTCTTATCATCAATATAAGTTGACATGGTGGACTAAAGGGTTAGCCCATTGACTGAAAAACGATTTGACTATTTTGATTCATTGATCAATTCATCGTTCAAGTCATTTTTAAAGCAAAAACAATGCTGTTTTCAGTCTATCAATCATGGTGATATCCTGCTTTTATCTGTCGAACATCATATTCAACTGGATCTTTCTTGGTTTTGGAGTGACAAAGTGAGAACATTAGTAAGTGCTTTCTCACTGGTGTCATTCACCGCCTTGTCAGCTTTCTGCAGAAACATTAGTATCATTCTTGGCAGTGGAACGTAAAATGTTTATCACATCTTAATCGTGTTTTTCTCATTTAGCTAAAGCCCTCTGGAGACATTTGGAAGAAGCACTCAAGGTCTCGGAGCAAAGAGTGAGCCAAATGATGCGGGCTAAATGTAATAAGGGGCTTTTATTACATTGCAGCCGGTTCTCTGCAGAACTGATGGCCTTTCTACTAAACTCAAAGTTTGACCTCAACCCAGCATCAGCGAGCTTTCTACTGATAAGGCATATGAATTGAGACGTCACCACTTCACACATCAAAGCATAAACAGATAAAGGCTCGCGATGACTGTGATCTCCCTCGGACTCTTGTGGTTGTCCGTAACCTGCTGTAACATAGCCTAATTAATATTTTACACCCTGCTCTGATGGCGAGTGCTGCACCTCACATTCATGCACATCTCACACTGCTAACCTCTCTCAGATAAAGTAGCCCTCCCCTCATCTTACAAGCACTTCCTTTATGAGGTTGCACAATGCCCTCGTTTCTCTCTGCCTGTGCGTGTGTGCAAGTTGTCCACCTTTTGGTTCCGGTGCTTGCAAACGTCTGAAGCTGACTTTTTTTAAACAAGAAAAAGAAAAAGAGCATGCAGAAAAAGCATGTTAACCAATTACAAATGCATTTTAAAATGATGAGCATGTTTATTCAAAGTAACACATGCAGTTAGGGCGCATTCAGTGCTGTGCTGTGTTGTGACTGTACTGTATACTCTGTGTGTTCATCCAGGTATCTGAAGTGGTGGTACAAGAAGACCCAGGTGGAAAAGAAAGCTCCGTTCATTGATATGTTTCGTGCCCAACCCTTGCGACAAATATATGGTGAGATCAGGATCTTACAGTGTGCTGAGCTTGTGATATTAAATCCTATTTAATATTTCACCAAAAACATACAGTACTATAACTCTTGAATTTGACCAGTTAAGCTCCTAAAGATAATAAGGAAATGACTGAATCCAGTTGATACCCTAATTTGCAGGTGCTCCACTTGGTGGTATCGGAGGAGGAACCATCACGAGAGGTTGGAGGGGGGAGTTCTGCAGATGGCAACTTAACCCCGGGATGTACCACTATAAAACTGTCACAGCAAACCAGGTATATAGAATGTTAAAGTAGGCAGAGACTATGGTTAAAGCATTTCATCAATTAAAATGACTTATTTAAGGAATATTTCCCTGGCTTTATATATGTTTTTCCCTATACAATAGCTCATTGGCTTATTTATCAGTAAACAATACCTCAACTCCTACTGCCTGTTACGTGAAGGTGTCCTAGGTCTATATATATATATATATATATATATATATAAGATGTTATTATTTCCAAATGAACAACATGTTTATGTATCTGCTGCAATCCATATTTGTTGGTGTTTATCCTTTAACCTGTGATTCAGTAAGGAATGTGAGTCAACCATGCTCTTAATTCATAAGAACAGTCTCCTTTTAAGTACCGACAAAATGCTAATGAGAAAACAAATCCCTAAAACACTTTAAAAAAAAAACGTTACATAAATGTATTTACTTTGTTCATTTGTGGTGTTGTTTTCTATTCGCCAAAGGAAAGAGCTAAATGTAAACCGCAAAATACCATATATTTCAAATATACGACCACAGTGGAGTTAAATGCTAGGAGACAGATAGCCGATTCTCTTCTGACAGCAGCCTCTGCACACTAACTGCAATGCATGGTGGGTGTGTTTTGGGAAAAGGGTGTGACTCTTTCTGTCCCTGGAAAAACTGGCTCTCTTGGTTTTGACTACACTGCACACCACCCTAATGTAGAACTATTAACTGGAGGCAGAATCAGGCTCAAGACATGCCTCTTGGGGGTTGTCTGAGGACATTCTGGGAAATGTAGGAAGATTCAGAATCAGAAAACCTTTAATAGTCCCACAGAGGGGAAATGTACGTTGTTAAAGAAAGCTCAGGCAGTACACTAAACAGTACATTGCACATACAGAACTTGTTGGTTATAAATGTCTAATCTCCTAAACCACAGATTAAATTCTCCACTTGCCCACATCCTTTTCTCTTTCTTAGTTTACAGTTTGTTTACGCCGTGGAGGGCAAACGGTTTACCAGCAGGTGCTCTCTGTAGAGCGTCCTCCCACTCTGCAGGGCTGGAACTGGGGCTACTGTGGAGAGTACGCCTTCTATCACGCCTTGTACCCCCGCGCCTGGACCGTTTACCACCTGCCGGGACAGAACGTCACCTTAACCTGCAGGCAGATTTCCCCAGTCATCCCCCACGACTACCAGGTAACTGAGACATCCCTGGATCGTATACATTATAATAGACTTATGATAATATTGTTGCATCAATCTAATTATGACACGCATCATGTCTAACCCCTGATCACCTGAACAATGAGAAGGTATTTGTTGAAAAACCCTCAAGCTTGTCAAAATAAATGTGGGAACCCCAAGACTATGATTGATGTTTCACCTACTTTCACCAACTCAAACTAAAAAGTGAATTATTTTTCGGGCGGATATAGAAATTGCAAATGCTGCAATCTACATTCTAACAAGTTACTTGAATACTTGCTTTGCTTTTGAGTTTTTTCAGCCTCAAATCATTTCAGCAACTGATGTCTCAACACTTTTGAATATATAGCAGAAGATCTAGGTTGTGGTGAAATAGCCTGTGACCTAAGTTTTTCATTTCCATATCTACACTGTAGCTAATGTGCACATGACAATAAAGCCTTGAATCTTGAAATGCACATTTTAGACGGTGCCTGTCGACATGCCCGTTTCACAAAAGTTATTTCCCAATGTGTATCTCCTTTATCCCAGGACTCTAGTCTCCCAGTGGCAGTATTTGTGTGGGACATAGAGAACAAGAATGACTACGCTTTGGATGTCTCCATCATGTTCACCATGGTCAACGGGTCGGGACACAAGGAAGATAAGAGCGGGGGACACTGGAATGAACCATTCCACCTGGAGAAGGAGGGGGAGGCGGTGTCTGGGGTTTTGCTACATCACTGCCTTGCTGTGAACCCTTACACTCTGTGCATCGCAGCCCGAGAACAGGTTTGATTACCAAGTTTATGCATTGTAAGGTTTTTGTAGTAGTTTGAACTGTACAGCTGCACAAGAAATTCCCAGGGAATAAACAGGATTTGCAACAATAGTCTCTATTATCTGGAAGTGGATTTATAATAATGAACTAGTTGTGAAATGCGTGGTGTTAGTGAGCATTAGGTTTTAGATTGACCCTAAATATGTGTGTTTTGTTCCCATTTGAACAGCCTGACAGGGAGGTCAGTCACCAGACAGCGTTCAGTCCAAAGGGAACCTGCAGCGGCCTGTGGAGTGACCTCATCACTGATGGACGGCTGGACTCTCCCACAGGTCGGTGCTTAAAAACTCACTGTGGAGAGATGAGACAGATTCATAACGGAACAGATGTCTACATTTGTCATTTCCTCAATATGAAACAGTAACAGAAAGAAGAAGAAGAAGAAGGAAAGAAACTGATGCACAGTAAAACACCAACAATTCCATCTAGGTCATCACGGAGCACTTGTCTTTGTAACCAGATTTGACCATTAAGTGTCATAGAAACTGGTGTACAAACCACAGTATAGAAAGTGAACACACTATAGATCAGGTATAAATAAGACCGTTTAATACAGACACAATACAGAATAGAGTGAATAAACATTAGTAGGTAAATAAAGACAAAGGCAGCAAGAGCTGAACCTCCAGTAAGATGTTTAACAACCTGCACAGCGTGATAGAGATACCATATGCTAACCTCTCTTGCTATCCTCCCCTCCCTCTCTAACTCTCACCTCTGCAGGATCCAGCCCGCCCACGCCTAAAGGAGAGAAGGTGGCAGCAGCGTTGGCTGTGAGCTGCTCGGTGCCGGCTCAGGGCCATAACAGCCTGGAGTTCTGCCTGGCCTGGGACATGCCCAATATCATGTTCGGCTCTAGGGAGAGGAAACACACCAGGTACGTCAAACAAACAGGAAACACACAGCTAACACACAGGAAACACAGGTAGAAACACACAGGTAGAAACACACAGGTAGTAACACACAGGTAACACAGAAACAACACATAGGAAACATACAGGAAGTAACACACAGAGAACACACAGAAAACACACAGGAAACACAGAGAGAACACACAGGTAGTAACTCACAGAAAACACACAGGTAACACATGTGCATCAGAGTTCCCGTTAGAATATTTTTTTGCCGGTCAACATGTCCGTTAAAGTTGAAATCTTCCGGACAAAATGAGAAAAGTGCCGGTCAAAGGTCTTCTTTGTTATTTATTGAGCTTTAAAACAAATTGATATGATTCGATATTAAACAAACTAATTATAGTAGATTAACTACATTATTCAAAAGTGTACAGTAACTTACAATAACACGGGAATAATAAACGGAGCGCTCTCCCCCTCTCCTGACAGCCCGTCAGTATCATGCAGCTCGCGGATCCAGTAATGAGTGACCCGACAGTAAAACTAAACATATCTATAACTAGTTTAGGTAGTTTGAGAGGTAATTAAAATAGCTACGTGATATTCTAACCTGAAGTGTGTGTTGCTCCGCTCACCGCTGCAGGTGATCATGCAGAGCTGCGTGTCGACTCGTCGGCAGCAGCTGATCTCTCTCTCCCGTCAGATTAGACTTCACTCTCGTTTATGTCCATATCGATCAGATCTAGCTAGTTCTAGCTAATGATATACCTGCTTATTAAAAGACACCTAAACAATAAGTCGCTATGCAACCGGGTGAGGCCACAAAGTATAGCGCAGCATTATACATTTGTTTACATGCCCACCGGAACCCCGAGGCATTACCAACAGATCAACGCACAATCAACCCATACAGGACATCTCTTTCTCCACATTAAGTGTTAGACATTAGAATTGACTATTCTTGTCTGTCACATACTCTTCTTGTCTGTCACATACTCTTCTTGTCTGTCACATACTCTTCTTGTCTGTCACATACTCTTCTTGTCTGTCACATACTATTCTTGTCTGTCACATACTCTCTTGTCTGTCACATACTCTCTTGTCTGTCACATACTCTTCTTGTCTGTCACATACTCTTCTTGTCTGTCACATACTCTTTTGTCTGTCACATACTCTCTTGTCTGTCACATACTCTCTTGTCTGTCACATACTCTTCTTGTCTGTCACATACTCTTTAGTCTGTCACATACTCTTTTGTCTGTCACATACTCTCTTGTCTGTCACATACTCTCTTGTCTGTCACATAAGTGGCGCAACTGATGCGGTATTGTGCTAAGGGAAAATTATTTTGACCGGACATTTTGACCGGAGAGATTTAAATTTGCCGGTCTTCAGCATATTTTACCGGTCAAAGTCCGGTAATTACCGGCTAACGGGAACTCTGATGTGCATTGTGTTGCTTTGCAGGAATGTAAACAAGCCAGAGTTAAACACAGTTACAGATATCGTTCTTCCAGTTTCTATTACTTTTGAAAAAGACCAGTCTAAGGTTGTTACAACAAATGCTATTAGCTGTTCCCTTTTCTATCCAGGACTCTGATGCATTTTATTTTATCTCATATTACAGTCTCAAAAGCTACGCCATGAATAATACATAGCGACATAAAACACAATACGCTTCCCTAATTGCAAATAAAACCCTTCAGTGACGGATATCCGAACAAGTATGCTTTCAATGCCGTGTCCTTTTTGAAGCCTCATTGTGTTTTCTGCTGTTGTTTTTCTGATGAAACTAACATCAACTTTCTGTTCCCAGGAGATACACTCGTTACTTTGGGACCAAAGGGGATGCTTCCCCCTCATTAGGTCACTACGCACTAACACACTACAGACAGTGGGAGAAGAGCATTGACGAGTGGCAAAGACCCATTCTCCAGGACAGGTAGTTGACAGTTCAAACATTGATTATAAATGATGAAGACATAAATAACAATAGCTTTCCATCCATGAATGCTTATAATTGTTTATCACCTTGGCTTGTGTTGCAGCTCCCTCCCCTCCTGGTATAAGTCGGCCCTGTTTAACGAGCTGTACTTTGTGGTGGATGGAGGGACGGTGTGGACGGAGCTACCGGAGGACGCTGATGTCAGTGGGGGGGTGCGCAGCGAGGACGGGGGGCTGCCAGCTCAGCCCGCCGTCGTTAAGGAGTTCGGACGTTTCGCCTACCTAGAAGGTAAGTGACAATGTGGCACTTGATCGATAGAAAAGTCATCTGAAACTTGGCAATCCATGATAGTTTCAGTTATTTCTCATGCAACACATTTGAGCTTCTTTTACGTGAGGAGTGTCTGTTTTCCCTACTTCATGATGGTCAACTGAATATTTTGGGGATTTGGGTAATTGTTTGAAATGTACAAAATGTTGGAAGAAATCATCTTGAACTCTAGGAAATGATAAAGGGTATCTTCATTGAAGAGACTTTTTGGACAAAACAATTATTTGATTTATTTCAAAAAATGATTAATCAATATGAACAGATAGTTGGTACTTTAATGTATATTATGTTATGTTAGAAATGATTAACTTTATTGATTGTAGTTCATAATTAACACATTTTAAATATCAGATAAGGTGAACACACCCAAAACTGTGTTAGTATTTTTTGATTGTCTGTTCCCTTATGCTACTACCTGCATGCTGTGTTTTGGGGCAGCTACAACACTAACCATGTTTTAACCATGAGATATTTGTTGGCATGAGTAAAAAGAAAGATCTGTCTTAATTAAATATGAAACCTACATAACTAAGCTATTGTTTTTTCCCCAGGTCAGGAGTACAGAATGTACAACACATACGACGTGCACTTCTACGCCTCGTTTGCACTTATCATGCTGTGGCCTAAACTCGCCTTGAGTTTGCAATATGATATTGGTGAGTGAAGTGCTTTCATCTTAGCGTTTGTATCAACTATCTCATCATGTGTGTTTGATTAAGAGCAATAGCTAAAAAGCTTTGATATCTTCTCAGCCGGCAGTGTGGTTCAGCAGGACCCGATGGAGAGGCTGCATCTGATGAGCGGGCGCTACTCTCCTGTCAAGGCCAAAAATGTGGTGCCTCACGACATAGGAGACCCAGGTATGAAGAGTGAAACTAGAAACTGAAAAACTAGGGAACACTCAAATAAATACATTATGAAGAATTACATTCCACTGGTGGCTGCGTAGGATTGTTTCCCAATGGTGTGATTCAAACATTTCTTGTCTCATTGCACAACATGATGACTCTTTCCCTAGATGATGAGCCGTGGCAGAGGGTAAATGCTTACCTCATCCATGACACTGCAGACTGGAAGGACCTGAACCTGAAGTTTGTGCTGCAGGTCTACAGGGACTTTCATCTCACTCAGGACCATCAGTACCTGAAGGACATGTGGCCCGTCTGCCAGGTACGAGGGATCTATGGGGTCTTCACGGTGCTGCATTTGAGAGTTGAAGCCCATCTGTAGTCATAACATAATTATCCTGGATTTGATGTTGCTTGTTCCACTTGGCTTTGTTATTGTGGTTGGTCTTCTAGGCGGTGATGGAGTCAGAGATGAAGTTCGACCTGGATGGAGACGGCCTTATAGAGAATTCTGGATATGCAGACCAGACTTATGACGGCTGGACGGTGACGGGACCAAGGTGAGAGGATGGAAAAACATGATACATAGATGGGTACTTTATTGATCCCAAATTGGGAAATGATTTTATTAGATATCAGGTTACAAAAATATGCAGAAATCTTAGCCCTTATTTTGAGTACACATTACCTACTTGTGTTGTCTTATATCCCAGTGATTTCAAATACTATGATATAACACAAGAATAATTGTAGTAATCTAGCTCAGTAATACTACCCACTACTGAAACTTTATATCAATAGAAAAATGAATTCTATTAAATTAGAAACCTTGAAGCAATTCAAACTTAACATACAAACACCCTCTATTTAATTAAATCAATCCTTAACAGGTCGTTCAATTCATTGAGCACTCCTCAAAGAAATAAAGTACTGTATGATAATTTCATTACAGGGTTTTCTCTAAATGTGATTGGATTAGAGGTAAAAGTGAAGATGAAGGGCTTGCCTTGTACATTTACAATTATATCTATTTTTATAATTAGATCTTGCAAGCTGGGAAATCAACTTAGGAAACGTTAGGGTTTTCATACACTGGCAAGATCAATTGAAGAAAAATACTATGTCATTAGCAAATGTTTTGTAATTAAAATATGACATTCAGAGCTATGGATCTTATTACCTCTTATTTTACAGGTTACATTTGACTAAAATTCTTATATTTTTGTTTTTTTGCAGTGCGTACTGTGGTGGGCTGTGGTTAGCGTCCCTGTGTGTTATGTGTAAAATGGCCAAACTGGTGGAAAATGAGGAGGCATACAAACGTTACAGAGACATCTTGGACCGGGGCAGCGCTGCTTATGACAAACTGCTGTGGAACGGTAAATTATCTCTAGTGATTGTGCAAAATCATCGCAACAAAATGTCCCTTTTGGTATTACTGCTTGCAACCGTCTCAAGCACTGCTCTTATAAAGAACTTCACACTTGACATTGCGCTCCCTATGTCGATAGACTTCCGGGACATAGTTGTGATACAAAAACATGTTCCCGATACTCAGAAACACCAATACTGTCTGGTATTTCTGCTTTTCGTTCATTTCCTATTTTCCTCTCATGTTTAGGCAAGTACTACAACTATGACAGCAGTGGGAGAGACCTTTCTAATAGCGTCATGTCTGACCAGTGTGCTGGCCATTGGTTCCTGAGAGCGTCTGGACTGGGAGAGGGAGAATACCAGGCAAGTTACAAAAAAAACAAGCCCTTATGAAGAAGTGCGACAAGAAAGATTCCCTATGCCAACCTACAGATTAGACAAACATCAATAAAGTTATGTTTTTCATCAGGACATACTTCAAATCTTTGTAGTCTCAGCATCACTTCCCCTCTCTCTCTCTAGGCTTTTCCCAAAGAAAAAATTCAGAGCGCACTGAAATCTGTCTTTGACTTGAATGTAATGAGCTTCGCTGGAGGCCAGATGGGGGCAGTTAACGGCATGCGCCCCGAGGGAGTGCCTGACCGCTCCAGTGTCCAGTCGGATGAAGTCTGGATTGGAGTCGTGTATGGACTAGCAGCCACTATGATACATGAGGTAAGTGTGTATGTGTTTTAGTCTATACACCTTACATTAAAGGGGTAAAACAATTTGGTATATTTTGTATATATTCGTTTTTTTCCCCAATGCCTCAACTAAGAAATCTATCTATTGAAAGCCTGCATTCAAAGTTTTCTATGGTTCAAGGTCTCGTTATATTTTAAACTTAATGGAGGCAAGTAATTTAGGAGAAGCACTCCAGCCGGGGAGTAGAGAGTAAATGATTGGACACATTATAACAATCCTCTGAAACACTGCCTCATGCCTCTCTGGCTATCTCTTTTTTTTTTGTTCAGGGGATGCAGGAGGAGGGTATGCGCACGGCGGAGGGCTGCTACCGAACTGTGTGGGAGCGGCTGGGCATGGCCTTCCAGACTCCTGAAGCGTACTGCGAGAAGGGAATCTACCGCTCTCTGGCGTACATGAGGCCTTTGAGTGTGTGGGCCATGCAGCTGGCCCTCAACACTTCACAGAAGGATCAGACCACAACAGCTCAAACAGAAGCTACAGATGGAGAGCAGGGACAGGATTTGGGAGAAACTCAGAGCTAGGACCTGATTATTAAAACTGGTGTGACTAGGAAGGTCTTCTGAAAATAACATCAAAACTCTCCTGCAGTCATCACCCTCATCTGCACTACTGCCCTGCTGCCCTGCTTAGTCACAGACTTTTAACTTAATTCTCTACTGTTTTTTTCTTCAAATGTTTGAGGCTCAAGGTCAGCACACTGATGGTTTACGCTTGAAAAACTCAGTAGCTACTGTCGATCATGATATTGTTAGGTCGGGATCTGAAGAGACTGCAAATGGTTCCTACTTTTTTCTTTTTTTGTCATGTGTAGGCCCATGTCAAAATCATAGCCAGTGTGTATTGCTAATTAAAATGTGACCCTTTGTTTCTGTAACATATTGTCTACTTTCCCACCTTTACATTCATTTGCAAGCACTACATTTCACAGTTTTTCAATAATATGGAACAAGTTAATATGCTTAATATTTTAGGACTGTTTCTTGTTTTTATACCAGCCTCAAGCAGTCACTATTGTCTTTGACAGTCGGGTTCACAAGAGGGCCTGTGAGAGAATCAAACAAGATTTGAAATATTGGTCAATAAAAACGGTCGATTCGAAGATTTCCTCTAAAATTTGAATTCTGTTCTTGGTAATGTAATATGTTTTTTGTTTAATAACATTTGGTGCCTTGTTGCATGTTGGCCACATCTACAATATATTAATGTAGCGGCAACATTTACTATGTTTTATAAAATCCAATACTCATGACAATCATGCTGAATAAATGACTGAATAATAAACCGGAGGTTAATTGTGTTATTTAAATGTATATTGATAAAGTTGTTAGTAAATACAAAAAAACTCTGTACAACACTTTACATTCACAACTTGTAAGATGTAGACATTTCACAGAACTCTTGGTCCAAGTAGCTAAATGATTAGCCATTCATATACATTTCATTCATTGGTTGGACTGGATGATGTGAGTTTGATGTTGGCTGGTAATATAGCAGAAGTGAAAACATCTGTGTGGAAAAAGGAACAGGTATATCTATCTTTTTCACATAAATGCAGAGTTCACAAAATTAGAAAAACTTTAGGTAAAAAAATAATATTTACAACAATATAAACTATATGTTAACACTTTTAACTGTCATCAGCCCAACACTATAGTCTCCAAATGACCATAATATTTGATCAAGATCTCTCTTAATCATATGTAACGATAACTGATGTTGGCAGGAAAAACAAATTGGCAGAGCGATAGGATCTGACATGTCTCTGTGGCGCAATTGGTTAGCGCGTTCGGCTGTTAACCGAAAGGTTGGTGGTTCAAGTCCACCCAGTGACGTTGATCCTTATATTAACACATACCTGCCAACCCTACCGATTTGGGCGGTAGTCTACCGCTTTTGACATGTTTCTACCGCCTACCGATTTAGCTGACTCTCCCTACCGATTTTCAATCTTCCCAAACTATAACAAATAAAAATGACACTACATAGACACTGGACTCGACTTTTGGCGGACACCGTTTGCAGCGTGTCTGTGATCCCATCATACAAACAGTCCTCTGTGTTTCAGTCGATCGCGAGATGTGTCTAAAAATAGAACAACAATATTCTGTTTTATCGTTAATGTCCTATAACATAATCTTCCTGTGCCAGAATAATGCACATGAACGCATCAAAGCTTTGTGATTGGCGTGACCCCATGTATCGGGGCGTGGCTGGTAGGCAGTGGGCACTAGTTTGCTGTGCAGTCCGCACACACAAGACCACAATTATGGCAGAAGCAAAAGAGCCCAAAATATATAATTTTCACTCTGAGTGGGGAGGATGATTATTTTTGTATCTATTCCAATTCAAAGTCTATCTGTCTCATCTGCAATGCGAGCGTGGCTTTATCGAAGAAGGGTAATTTAGGAGCGGCATTTCAAAACAGTGCACAAACGCTACGAGACGGAATTCCCTCCTAATTCTGCCCTACGCTCCCAAAAGGTGAGGGACCTGAAAGGACAGCTAAATGCACAGCAGTCCATTTTCACCAGGCCCAACAACAAGAGCAAGGCTGCTACCATAGCATCTTATCGTGTTAGTCACGTTCTTGCGAAACACATGAAGTCTTTCAAAGACGGCGAGGTTGTGAAAGAAGCATTCCTGGAGGCTGCGGACACGCTTTTTGGGGACAGTAAAAATAACAGTAGCATTTCAACAGGTTTTTGATATAATAAAAACTCAAGTTAGATACCGTTATTAATCAGCTGTAAGTTTTAGTTTGTTTGAACTTATTCATTATAATTATTGTACAAAATGGTATAAGAATGCAAACTTTAAGATCTGTTCTGTTTAAATTGATTATAGTCTATTATCAATTCAGAAACTAGTGTTGCTTGCATCCTATTTTAAAGGCATTTCTTTTTATACTCTACTAAAATGCAAAAAAAAGAAAAGGGTTTGATTCTATTAATTTTGTCTTTTTTATTGCACTTTGGCAGCAGATTCCTGTGTAGCTTCAGATCTGAGTTGTCTTATTAGTCAAACTAATTTATACTTTTGTAGCAACACTATTTTTATATAATGGCAAAGAAAGGGTTCAGTCTTTTCTTTTTTTCCTGTGTCATATGTGGCAGCACTGTTCAATGTTTCTTGAAAACATGACCCACTGTAGTATGTGACGTGTGAATAAACTCCAAACTCTGTATCAACAACACTGTTGTGTAACTTCAGTTAAATACTTGTATGTGTGGAGATTAGAAAGAGGTAAGATAAAGGATCTGCAGTATTTTATGAAGTATTAATCGTACAAAGGTCAGTTTTATACAAGTAGAAGTGTGTATTTACCTGGTAGTAGGCTGTCAGTAATGGCTACACCTCTCTATTTGGACTGGTAGATCTCGGCAGACTGGCAACTTTAAAAGTAGCTCTCGGTTCAAAAAAGGTTGGGCACCCCTGATCTACACTGTCAAGGTTCAAGGTTCTTTATTGTCAAACTAACACAGCTACAGAGTAATTATGTCGTTGAAAATCTTATGTCACAGGCTTCTCCAACAATGCAACTGAAAGAGGACCAGAAACACATTAAAAATATAATAAAATGTGGAGACTTTGGGATATTTATCTCCCATTCTTTTACTTTTCGGGCATTTTACAGACCAAACATGTCTTTGATGTCACTGTTTAGTGTTTACCAAACTACCACTTTTTCTGAAAAATGCATAAAATGATGCAATATATATATGTTAAATACATGCTTTATACATGTAATTACTGGGGTTCTGATTACCTAATTTGGGCGTGCACATTTGCCGCGCGCAAACCTACCTCTTTTGGATTTGGAAAGGTTGGCATGTATGTTAACATGTTAAGCAATGTTAGGATTTCTTTAGCCCCGAGTCTAGGATAAACTGAAAAGAGTACAAGGAAGCTTATAAAAGTTAACAGCATTTATTAAACAAATGATACGATGATACAAAATGAAATTTGCGAGTGGAGGCGCTCTCCCCATTCAGCTGTTGCCTGTCACGTGTGCGTTGGGTCAGCGCAGGTGAAGAAGAGGTCGATTCTTCCTGTCCATCACGGGTTATCAACTGTAGTCTTCTCCTATTGGCCGGCGTCGACGGGGGCGTGTCCAATGCAATCCTGCCGTTTTCTGTTGCTAAATTACATCATTAATGTCTGTGGTTATTTAAACATTCCCAAAACGTTTTGCAGCGTCAATAAGTGAAAATTAAAAACAGTGTGTTTTTAGGGTACAACATCACATGTCATTTCACCTTCAATTCACGGTTTCAAAACGTAGCATTCGCCACATGCTAATGCTAACCGGAAATGACGAGATTTACTTAGCGGAAAACCGGAAGTCATGTGTGAACATTCGGTTTTTAGAATAAAACAGATTTAAATTAAATACAGTGTATTTAATTTAAATGACGCCATATCAACATTGATTTTAATTTCTTGCAGCAACAAGCCAGGTCCCATGTTCAAGGATAAGCTTCCAGGAAACCACCAACATATGTGATATCTCGTCAGTTCACATGACCACATAATTCAGGGTTCTTACACCTTTTCCAAAGTCAAATTCAAGCACTTTTCAAGCATTTTCAAGGTGCATTTCAAGCTTATCAAGCATCTTACAGCTGTTGTAAATTACATATTTATATACACATACTTGTCCTCAAATGATTATTTCCCTACCTCACATTAAATCAGATGTTCTTTATGCTATAAACAACCAAATGTGTGTTTCGTGATAGCATTCTACATGAGGATGATAAATTAAAGACAAAGAAAACAAAGTGTAATATTTCAAAATGAGTGACCCATCTGTACGTAGACTGGGCATCCCATATAACCTGGCTGAGCCAATATACAACAATCCGCCATATAACTTAATTAATTAATTTAATTAAATAATATTTTCAATAAATTCTTTATTAACATGTTGGAGGTCCTTAGGTTGGCAGTGAACATAAGGCTCTCCCAGGTTAGGCCAAAGGGTGCATTATATGCACACATATACTGTATAAACTCAAATGTGAATTTTCCTTCACATTGAATCAGAAATTATGCAAATCAAATCAACTTTCAATCAGTCTTTGAGCTCCTTGAGTTGAAAAAGCAAACAGAAAACCTGCACAGAACACTGCACTGAATCATTCAAGGTAAGGCTACACAGCATACGGCCTATTAGGGAGTGTCTTTCAGTTCCTTGAGTTTGTCAGTTAGCTGTCTCTCCAAAGTCTCCAGATGTATTTCCTTTTCCTTAGCAGCTCTTCCAAGGCCATTGGGCTTGGAGATGAAGCTTAGTTTTCTTGTTATGCAACTGTGTACTACTTTTACTCCACTACAGTTCAGAGGTACATGGTGTACTTTGACTCCACTACATGTATTTAATACCTTTAGTTACTTTACAGATGTGGATGAATGATGTGAAATCTAATCACGTGTTAAATCAGACTTTAGTTCCACCTGGAGTAAATTCACAAGCTACCCTGCAGTATACAAAGTCATTCAAACTAGCTGCACCTTTACCAGCTTTGAGAACACTTTCATGATCAATCATTATAACACATATCATATATATTATTCTAAAATGGAGCCTCAGTGACCTTTGAGATATCACCCTCTTTCAATCCCAAGAGAACATTCCTCCTCAAAGACACATTCACCTCTGACAGACTTTCACTTGTGGACTAGAGTTATCCTGTGGATGAACTCAAGAAACACTATCTCCGCCTACAAGGCCTTCCCCTTCCCTCTTTTCCCAAAGTGCAGCCTCTCCTACTAATAGGTGCAGATAACTTTCACCTCATTACCCCAACCAAAAGAGTCTCTTCCGGTCCACAGGGGGCACCAATAGCCCTCCAGCTAGGTTCAAATACAAGATCTCACTCCTCACCCATCATTGCATCCACGGGAACGCTCCTTCATACCTCAAGGAACTACTCTCCACACGCAACCTCCATTCTACAACCAACCATCTGCTTCCCCCCCCCCAGGACCAAACTCCGCACCATGGGGGGGCTTTCTGTTCACCTGTGGAATTCCCTCCCAGACAAACTGAGGACTCCACAGACCACTGACTCCATTAAGAAGGGCCTACAAAAAAAAAGTATATTATGCCCCTTGTAGCACTTTGAGATTACTTTTAGCAATGAAAGGTGCTTTACAAATAAAATGCATTATTATTATTCTTATTAGGTTGGATACTCCAAGGGCCTCCCCTATTCAGGAGCCATCGGATGCCCCCCAGAGTCTCTTCACCCCAACTGGAACCCCCGATGCCGAACTCAGTC